TACAATGAATACTAATTTTGTCTATATTAATGACTGTTTTATAATAACCTATTTGTGAGAAAGCACATATTTCACTTACAAACTTAAGAGCTCTCTAACTGATAAAGTTTTTATTATTCCAAGCTTGGTTGGAATTTTTAAATCTAAAGTGATTTTATCACATCTCCTAATCGCACTTTTAGGATCTAGTCCGTTTGTCTGTGCAATAAGAACTTTTCTAACTGCTTGACACACAAAGTCGCCAAGCTTCATAAACATTTCATGATCATTCTGTAGTACTGGAAGGTCTGTAGATTTTAAATGCAGTTTAAGTACTTGTTTCCATACATCGTCGCTTATAAAGTCAGATATTGCACTCATTGACGGTTCACCACTCCTAAAAAATTAATCAATGACATTATCTTTAAAATTTTCTGTTTCAATTTAGATAAGGTCGATAAATAAAATTTAAATTATGACCCAAGCTCACAACACACTAGCTATCCAGCAATTATAACCCACCACTAAATACATACCAATTATGCGAAGCAGAAAATTCATCTGCAAGATTTGAAACTGCTTGGTTAAGTCTGTAGCGGTAAATATCGAACCAATTACCCATGTCTTTCAATAGTGTCCCCATGCGATAGTCACTTTTTTGAATGTTACACACTTTGGTGATTAACTCTTCATACAATTGTGTGGTATTATTTCTGGTTCGCAAGAAGAGTGCTTTGCACTCTTCTTGCAATCGATATTTGGTATGCTAAAATTGAAATATACTATAAGTTTACATATATAGTAATTGATACAATATATAAAATTTACCTTAGTTATTTCTGAAGAGCTCAACATAAAATTAGATAAATTGGTAGTGTTTGAGGACGTTTCATCACTTTCTGTTATTTTTGCTTTCTGTGCACTAAAAATCATGTTAGCTAAATCCAGGATTTTAGGATGATAGGCTACCCAAACAGCAACTTCAAATTCGTTGGAAGCATTACGAAGTTTCATAAAAGCTTTTTGTAATACATTATATTCAAAATTATTTTCCCTATCTATCAAAATATTACAAAATTATTTATAAGTAGCTTTAGATTGGGTTACGTTAAAGTAATAATACTTACCTTTATTTAGAGATGTTGCTGTTGAAGTTGCCACTTTTGCACTTAAATTTGAAGCTTCTGTATATAATTGATTTCCTGTTGGAATCTCATCTATGGATCTTGAAGATGAAGGTAGCACTGTTGCAGTAGTCTCAGTTATAGACTTTGAAGATGTCGCAATATGTGAAATCTCCTCGGTTGTCAACTCATTAAGAAAATCAGAATCATTAACTAAAAAATAAATAAGAGATAAAAAAGTTCACTTAATATAATCAAAATTCGATCCATATATAATCTTCTTAATATAATCAAAATTCGATCCATATATAATCTTCTTAATATAAAAATAGTACCATTAACAGAATAGTTTAGACCATCTAAATTTAAATATAAATCAAATATTAAATTATATTTAGGAAATTATTTAAATCAAACATATAATGCATACCTGACGTCTCTTCATGACTAATATCTTCTAAATTATCCTCCCCATCACTAATAATTTCCTCAACCTGTTCAGTTCTTTGATCATTATCATTCACTAAGCTTTGTCTGCTTAAATCATTATCATCTGTTAATTTTTGACTGTTTTGTCTTTTTTTCGGCGGTGAGGTTGATGCTCTGGAAACAGAACCTAGATATGCATTGTTTCCCCATAATATCAAGAAAATGAGTATTTAATTTATAAATGCATG